GTCGAAGAGTTCGAGCAGTATTTACGGCAAGGGAATTGGATACACTTTTGGAAACAGAAGCAATTGCGGACAGAGTTGCAGATGTTTTGAAATCAAAAAAGGCTTATGCCTTAATACTTGCACTTCTAAGTGATAATGTTATTGCTTCTCTTCAACGTGAAGACATGGCGTGTAAAATATGGAAGAAATTATAAGCTACGTATAGCGCTAAAGGTGCAGTGAGTTAAATTTTAACACGCAAACATCTAGCTACCATAAGAAAATCCAAGGATGTGTCAATGAGACAGCATATCGACAGCATAATGAACTTGGTGAGTAGTCTACGTGTCTCAAGATCTGAAGTAAGTGTGATATTACTATTTTACATTTTAATGTCATTACCAAAGGAATATGAAAATGTTAAGGCATCACTAAAAAATCAACCAAGTGATAATTTGAGTTTGTTACAAGCAGACTTATTGATTGTGAATCTCATGTTTAATTATAAAAGTGAAAATAAGTATTCTAAACCAAATACGGACAACTCTGTTTTTATTTGTGCTCGTAAAGAATTGTTTTGTACTTATTGTAAAAGAAAAGGACATTCTGTTAAATTTGTAGGAAAAAGAACTCCGTCTGTCATAACTGTGGGAAAACTGGTTATTTCAAAAGTGAATGTTTTGATAATTCTAAAAAGCAGGCAAATTCAAATGGTAATAAGTATGCATCCCTGCAATATCTTTTATGGCTGGAAATCTTGTGCATGATCAATTTATTATTGATTCTGGTGCACTTTCTCATATGTCTTCTCACAAGGAATGGTTTACCTCAATTAAGCCTAAGACTGGAACTGTTAAGTGCGCGTCTAAGTCGGTGGTTTTAGAAGTGGAACGAATTGGTGATATTTGTGGTAAAACTAAGAATGGTGTTGAAATAATGTTAAAAGATGTTTTTTACGTTCCAAAATTAAAGGGATAATTAATTTATGTAAAAAATATTGAAGCAGCAGGTTTAAGCATAATTTTTAAAAATGAAATAGTTTACATTGAACACAAAAACAAGTGGTTTAGATTTGGATATTTGGACAAATGTGGACAATATTTTAGTGATTTTTCACCAAACCTATTTACAGCTTTAGCAGTAAAGAATGATGATTTATGGCACAGAAGATTAGGACACTGCTGAGATCAAAAATTAAAACTGATGAATCTTCCTGCAAAAAAATCCTTTTGTGAAGTATGTGTTCGTGCCAAACAAAGTGCTTTGCCTACAGGAAAGGGTCCTTGCATAAAAGAATCCAAACCGCTTATAACTATACACACTGATATATGTGGTCCAACAGAACCTCAAACAGTCCATGGGGAAAAGTATTTCATGACTATGATTGATGACTACTCGCGATTTATGGAAATCAGGTTGCTCAAAAGAAAAAGTGACATTGCTGATGAACACAAGCTATTCTTTAAATTGAATCCAACTGTTACAAAACTGCGCTGTGGCAATGCCAAAGAATATGTCAGTAGAGAATTCCATGATGTTGCTAAAAGAGCAGGTGTAAAAATAAATCCTGCACCTTCCTATACACCTTTTCTAAATGGTGTTGCTGAACGAGCAAATAGAACTGTACTGGAAAAAGTTAGAGCAATGATACTTGAGGCAAAATTACCAAAATTCCTTTGGGGTGAAGCAGTACATATGGCTACTTACATAAATAATCGACTCCCAAATAGTTCGATTGACAATCATGTTCCTTATTTTCTGAAGTATGGTGAAAATCCTGATTTAACAAACATGTGTGTATTTGGCTGTGATGCTTATACTCTAGTGCCACCATCGCAAAGAAAGAAACTAGATGAAAAATCTATTAGAATGATATTTGTAGGTTATTCCACAATGGGATATCATTTAATGATTCCAGAAACAAGACACATCTTTTGTTTCCAGAAATGTTGAATTTAATGAAGAAAAGAAGAAAGTAGAAAATCAAAAATATATTTCCGATAATTCTGATTTGAGTGAAAATGACAATGATGACATTAAAAATGAAGACAAATCAATTTCAGACACTGACAAAGACGATTTAAATGCTGCAAATAAGAAGGAGGAAGAAAGGAAATTTTCAAGAGAAAAGAAATAACCAGTTATGGTAGCCTAATCCTGAGACTTAACTAGTAATGTTTGCACAACAAAATACTCTGACATTTGAAGATATTGTAAATCTACCAGAAGTAGAACAAGAACTATGGAAAAGAGCTATGGACGAGGAAATGAAATCTATGGAAGATAACGATGTCTGGAACCTACAAAGTTTACCCCCTGATAAAAGAGCCATTTCCTGCAAATGGGTTCTACGTAAAAAACGAGATGGAACTTACAAAATCAGGCTTGTTGCTCGTGGCTTTATGCAAAAGGAAGGCATAGATTATACAAAAACGTTTACTCCAGTGATTAGCATGTGCCCTTAAGTTTAATCCTGGTAATTATCAATAATGAAGGTCTGCAAACTTTTACTTTAGATGTCAAGACAGCTTTTTTGAACGGTAAGTTGGATGAAATCATCTACATGGACCAGCCAAAAGGATATGATGAGTGGTAAGAAGTGTAAACTTAAAAGAGTTATATGGTCTTACACAGTCTCCTCGACAATGGTATCAGAAATTTCTGAATTTTGTTATTAAATTAGATTTTAAGCAATTGGACTCTGAACCACGTATTTTCATCAGAAATTTAAATTTTAAGAAAGTAATTATGGCTCTTTATGTAGATGACTTATTAATTGCAGGTTCGGATGTAAAAGAAACAAATATTATAATATCATTGTTGTCTAGTGAATTTCAAATGTCAAAATCTGAAAGTGTCTCAGAATTTTTAGGCATTAGACTGAAATTTGAGTCTGGTTGTTCATATTTAGATCAGAAACCATATATTGAAAAATTACTGATAAATTTAAAAATGTTGATTGTAAAACAGCCCAAAAACTCCCATTGAACCAAAATTACAGCAGCATTTTCAGAAAGGAAATGCATTTCATGGCCCATACAAGAAATTAATTGGATCTTACTTAGCATATATCACAGGCCAGATATTGTTTTGCAGTAAATTGCTTAAGCCAACTGCAGGAACATCCTACTGATGTTGCCTGGTGTGCTCTAAAAAGAATTCTAGGTAGTTGAAAAACACCTTAAATTTAAAATTGATATACAAAAGGGTGATTGGAAAGGGCAAACTTATGCTTGTAGTAGATGCAGATTGGGGGGGGGGATATCAAGATAGGAAATCAATTACTGGTTATTTATAATGTTTCAAACGTCCATTATGTGGTGCTGTAACAAGCAAAAGTGTATTGCACTTTCATCAACAGAAACTGAAATAATTGCTTTATGTAAAGGTATTCAAGATGTTTTATGGATAAAAAATGTAGTAAATAAAATTTCCAGTGTTAAAAATGTTTATAATTTTGAGGATAACCAGTCATGTGTCAAAAGTATTGTTAATGAAAACTTTTCAGGCAGGTTGAAACATATAGATATAAAATTAAAGTTCACTCGTAAGACAGTTAAGGAAAATAATATTAGAATTGAATATGTACAATCAGGTTTAAAAATTGCAGATATATTAACTAAGGCTTTGTCCAAAACAAAATTCTATGAACCGTTATCTTTGAGCTGTTTAAAAATTGTGTAATTCTTCTATGTTTTGTATAATGTGCGATTAAGGAGGAGTGTTGAGATATTTGTAATCGCATTCTTACTGGTTAAAAGGAAGTATAGCATTCTGTCACGTCCGATACATTCATTAGCTTTCAGACAGGTCCGAGTTATTCTGAAACTTAATCCCATTCTTTGTTATTTTTGATTGGTTATTTATTGTGTCTTGTTTATGATTTGTTAAACCATGATCCGTTATAAAGTTATATATATGACCTCTGTAACCACTTATCGTTGCTTGTATTATTCTGCTTGTACTTATCGTTGCTTGTGTTTCTTTGCACGTAACACTGTGTGTATCTCTGCGTATATCAATAATAAATATTTGTTTTGTGAACCACGGCATTTTCTATGTTTATTAGTTTTCAATTTTTGTTTAGATGGTTCACGTTAGTCAAAAGGTTGGGAACTGCTACTGTAAATGATCAGACAGATGTGTCATATACACATTAAAGTCTTGCTTGGGTCACAATATGACATCAGAATTCTTTGTAGCTGTAGTATTTTCAAAGGAGGACATTATATATTTGATTATGTTTATTATTATATATTTGATTATATTTATTACATATTTTGATTATGTTTTACACAGACAGTGAGTTTTTTTTGTTGAATCTGGTAAGGATTATCAATGATATATGTCTATATTGACATAATTTTTGTTGATATTGTAGTTAGTATGCTCAGATAATGCTATTTGTCCATTTGTGATGCATCTGATGATTTACGATGCAAGAAATAAGAGCCTGGAGTTTGTGCATGGGTATGTTCACTAGAATTTAGAAATAAATGAATAATTTCTTTGCAAAACTATGCTTGTGGTTACTTCTCACTGATTTTGGCATGCAACATTCAAACTCTGATATCAAAATGCTAAAACACAATTTTATGTACCATTTTGCAAAATGGTTAATTATATGAAAGCAGCTAACCAAGTCCATTAATGCCACATGCATTATTGTCCTCTTCTTCTATTATCGGAGTCATCATCACTTCTGCTATCAAAGTTTTTGCCCAATTCCAGATTTGAAAATCTTCATTTGAAAAAGGTTATATTTGAGTTCAAGTTACAGAAATCATTATTCAGAGTCTAAATCTATTTATTTGTCTTTAAATATTTTAGGTTTGCCATTAAAATTCAACCTTTTCCTCCAACTTCTTGTGGACAAATAGGATTATTTCCAGATGGAAGTTAGCGAGCTGGCTATCAAATTAAACCAAAGTAACTGAATAATATTATGTGATTACTATAAAATGCAATACAATAATTTAAAAAAATTTTATTTTATGTATAGGAAATAAAATACAAATTTATGTAAGAAAAATGCCTCTAAACCATTAGAGAAAGCAGATAGAATTTTTTACAAGAAATATTAACTTCTGAAAGAAAGTGCTATTTTGCAAAAGAAATTACAACAGTATAGCATTTATAAGAAATTGTATTTTAACAAATTAAAGCAAAAGACAATAATTACATTGAATTGGAACAGTGTTTAATTAATGCAGTTATTATGTATTACAATTCACAATCATATAGTGCAGTAACTTTAACTATCCATTTTTTAAGGACAATTATACTTCTTAAGAATGCAGTGACAGATCAAATACATTTTGAAAGAGCACAATATGTAACAGCTCACTTACAAGGGGAAAAGAAAATCATTGAGTGAAATAAAACACTCTGTACAAGAAAAACAAAGTTTTCATCTATTTTTTAGATGAGCTATTCTTTATTTCTAATCATCTAATAACTTCTTTTAATTATTTCAGAAAACTGGTTGGTGCATATAACTTCTCCGTCTTTCTGCAAAAAATTCTATTTTTTCTGACCTCTTTTTTTTCAGGGGGGATACAGTTTATATTTACACCAACATTCTGCAGATATTTTTTTATTTCCCTGATCTTCCAGCAACTGGAAAGTACTTTATTTGCTGTATACAAAAATAACAAAGTTTTAACCAATCTTAAATAAAGAATGACACCTCCAAGTAAAACCGAGCATAAGAAAATATAATATTGGTTGATTTAGATTTCATTTTAGCTGAAGCACTTTAATTGGCTGGAAAAAGACTTTCATAGTCGACAGGAAAAGCAAGTACGAATTAACCTAATAAATACAGTAAGAATTTTTTTTTTTTAAATCAGAAAAGTACAGATATATTGAAAACTCAAAAATGATATGAAACCTTATAATGTATTCACAAAAATTCAGAAAAATAATCGCAGAAATTCATGCTGTAATAAAGTTTCTGCCTTAGGAACAGGCAAAGCAGAGTGATCCGAGACATTAAATTCATTCTTGAATCTTTCCACTAATACAGTACTTTGACATTTGAAGCCATTTAACTTACTGAAAAAATTTTTAAAATGCTGCCATATGGACTTTTTGATCTATGGAAATCTTATTTTGATATAACATATTTTGAAAAACTTTATAGCTCACAGAATATGCCTGGAAGATCTATATTTTATGAAATAGTATCTATAGCTGGCTGTCTGTAAAACCAAGTATATTTTTAAATAATCCAGTTGAAAATTTATGCTATTAAATTACTATATTTTGTTTAAATAAGATTGAAAATTCATACAAGGTATAATTCAAAAATTAAAAATTTATCCAAAACATTAAATTAAAAATTTATATTTTATTAAGTGTTAATTGCAAAAATTTCAAACCAAAAAATCTAAGCAAATACTTTTTTCTTTATTTAATTTGATAAAAAGTTACTTTTAAAATTACATTTGTACATCCTTATTACATTTTATTAAAAATATTGTTTATATAATAATTATAATACTTACCTTTCCATCAATAATCAAGCTACTTCATGCTCCTTCCTCAATAAATCACCAAAGTCATGCATGTGACGTCTTATAGCTTCTCTTGTATTCTGTTAGAAAATTAAATTAGAAAATCCCAACTCTACACATTTCTCCAGTAGATTTTTGAATAAAAAGTAATTATCAAGGTTGCCACTTAAACAGGAGAATGAAATTCCCTGACTTTTCCAGGTTTTTCAGGTATGTTTCGAGAAAATTCCAGTCTACCCGCGTTATGTACGTTGGCTGTGCTAAGAGGTAAATTAATTATGGTATTACTTGTACTGTGCAGCAAATTCACTTAATTATTCAATAAATCCCAGAGGACATTTATTCTTAATTATTCTTGGTATACTTTGTTTGATAATTTTGTTTACTTTTCCACTTAAGAAACTTAATAAAATTTAAGATATATACATTGGATAACAAATGTATGTTTTATTTAATTATTACTCATGATCATCACCAGTTCAACACGAGGCTAATCCGGTCCTTATAAATCACAACGCAATGCTAAATAGTTAGGTTAGATTTTAGGTAAATTTAATTTGTGTGAGGTATGTTCTTAAAAGGCACCTTAACACTTGAAAACACAAATATAATTATAATAGTTGTTGTTTTCTCCACTGAAGATTGAGATTAGAATCTTCCCAATCTGGAATAAAATAAGGCTTTTTTTGCAGACATTCTGCAACTAAACGAAAGAAAGAAATCTATTTAATGATATTTTTTAATAAATTGAGGTATTTTATATTTATTTCGCAGCATACATAAGGAAAAAATATGTGCATTAAATTTCGTGATGGTATGTCATCATACTGCTAGAATTAATTTCAGGATTATGCCAGAGAAAATTTCCTGAAATTTGGAAATATTATTTACTAATAATAAATAAATTTAGAGGGAAGAAGCAACATTAAATTATATGAATAACATAAAAATAAAGATAATTACTTAAAAATTGAATTAGAATAATCAACGATATTTTAGCGAATATAGTTATATTACATGGTTAGCCTAGATGACTGATTACTATTTTTTTATTTTACTGCAAAATGGCAAGGTATTTATTAAAAAGAAAAAAAAAAAAGTTTTTTTGCGGTAAAATTCTAGTATACGGTAAGGCTTTGGCACGATTTTGAAAATTGTCGCCAACACCAAAATGACCCGTTTACTGCTCATCATCATGTCGCCAAATCCCGCTGTACCATACATGGAGATTATTCTAACCAAAGAACGTCTACGTAAAGAAGAAAAGGTTCCATACATGTAAATGCTATTATGCGGCTAGAAAGCGGAGAGAAAATTTGCCAAGGGATTTGGCGACAGAACAGGGTGGCCAGAATTTCCCTCTCCGCGATGTATACAGGAAATTGAGAAACACGTGTTAAGAAAAAAAAAACTACAAAAATCCGTTTTAAAATTATTGCGAAAAATCCAAGAAGAAACGTTTTATCAAAGAATGTTTTTTCTTGGATTTTTCGCAATAATTTTAAAAACGGATTTTCGTAGTTTTTTTTTTTCCCCCCCTCAAAATAACTAATCCATGAATTAATTTACTTGCGCCAAAAAATATTTTCTTTTCCTTTAGAGTTTAAAGAAATTTTAAACGATATTCATTTTATGAACTCTTGATAACGTGACCTTCAAACTTCGACACCGGTTTCGAGCTTTGGCGACAGATATATCGCGCATGCACAGCTGTTTCCCTCTATGATGGAACGGAGCCACGTCTGTTGCAGAGAGGTTTTCTTTCTTTAATACAATACATTTTTTTTGATTCTAACCTTCATGGTACCGTATACTAGGATTAAAACCCATTTTGTTTTATACGAGAACAGGTACTTTCTTTAGTTCATGCACTGCACATGCGATTCTCGAGAATACTGGAAACCAAAAGTTGCGGAAAGTTGCTTTGCCTTTCTAAAAAGACAATCAAATTGGAGCTGCGAAAATTGGCTCTCCAGCTGCCCGAATGACACTCACGTGATACACAATTCGCCAAAAAAAAGTTATCTCTTCCGACGTCGGCGCAAAAATCGCTTTTTTGGCGGGATCGTTGTATGAAATTCCCTGGCTTTTCCAGATTTTGACTAAAACACTTAAATTCCCTGACTTTTCTCTGAGTTTTTTGGTCAATTTCCGAATTCCCTGACTTTCCAGTTTTCCAGGTAGCATGGCAACCCTGAATTATACATCAATCATTACTTTCTTTGAAAAGTATTTAAATTTTTGAGCTTTATACTAGTAATTAATTAGTAAAAAAAGACTTAATTGCAGGAACTTACATCTAAGCTGGTTTCATTAATAACTAGAAGTGGCATTGTCTGTGTTAAAAGTTTGCATGAATAACCTACAAAAACAAAACTATTACTTTTCAGACATTAAAAACAAAGATAACATATGTATTCTAAATATATATAAACTTAAAGCAGCTAAAGTTAAAAGTAAACTGGAGTCAAAGCAAAGCAATTCCTTAACAATATTAACACTTTACTGACCGATCGCCTATTAATCGCCTACCGACCGACAGCCTATTAATCGGCTTTTTTCCTCCAATGCCTACTAACCGATTGTCTATTAATCGGCTTTTTTTTTGCCAACATGTACCAAATGATAGCCTATTAATCAGCCTTTTTTTTTTTTTTTTTTCCCTTCTTCTTCTTCTAATGCCTACCGACTGATAGTCTATTAATCTCTTTTTTCTCGGGGCTACCTAAAATATCCTATCAATAGGTAGCCATGGCGATAAACAATTGCCATTTGCTCTATCATCTGCATTTTATTATTAGTATTGAGGTACATTGCTCATTTGCGTTAAGTGCGTTGCTTCGTAAACTCCCAAATTTTCACGCCATTTTTTAAAAATTTACCATTTACAATGAGTGAAAAAAACGGTACTGGAGAGTTTTATTTAGATGATTTATCTGATTGCTCTGACAGTTATTCAGGACAGGGAGAATCCTTGGCTGAGTGGCTGGTCAAACGTGCACATGCTGTTGAACCGCTAGCGGTCAATAAAGTGTTAATAATTACATCCTTGTAAAGGGGATATAAGCATAAAATCAAAACATTTCAAAATAAAAATGATCATAGAAGTATAAACTCTAAAACTAAAAATGCAAAAAGGGAAAATATATGCAAGATAATATAAATATAAAAATTAATCTCCCTTTATTGAAACCTTAATTCAGAACTCATCAGGAAAAAATGAATTTAAGCTTCACAAAAGTTGATTAATATGCTTCGAAAATGTGTTTTGTTCTCCCGGTAAATTTGAGATAAAAAACTGAAAAAAGTAACAAATTTATACTACACAAAAACTCATATAAAACCGAAAAAAGTGAATATAAATTGAACCAGGATTTTCCCTACACACTTTCAAAACACTTAGTAAAAAGAATCAAACATAACATTTCAAAGTGACTACACACACAAAAAAAAAGGGGGGGGAACATTACATATTGTAAGGCATGTAGGTAAAATCTGGTACATTTGAGATTCACTTTTTTGGGTTTTATACGAGTTTTTGTGTAATATAAATTTGTTTCTATTTTTGGTCTTTGATCTCAAATTTATCGGGAAAACGAAACATGTTTTCGAAGCATATTAATCACCTTTTATGAAGCTTTCAATTCATTTTTCCCTGATGAGTTCTGAATTAAAGTTTCAATAAAGGGAGATTAATTTTTATATTTTTATTATCTTGTATATATTTTCCCTTTTTGCATTTTTAGTTTTAGAGTTTATACTACTATGATCATTTTTATTTTGAAATGTTTTGATTTTATGCTTAACCCCCTTACAAGGATGCAATTATTAATATTGTTGAGGAATTGCCTTGCTTTGACTCCAATTTAGTTTTAACTTTAGATGCTTTAAGTTTATTTTACTTCAATTCTTGCAGGTACAGAGTAGGATGGGTTTAAAAAAAAAATTGCTTTTTATTTTTGCCTTTTATTCAATTTCTTTATGTATTTATAAATATATATACATTTACCCAATCCACTCTAACTTTATATGCATATATAAACTTGAATACAACATAAATAAGTTTTTCACTGCTTAATTTTTAAAAATGCACAGTTCTAATACATTGCTTATAAAATTACAAGATTAATATACATTTCTGTCAAAAATTCTGTAGTAAAGCAATATGGAAAACGACCAGAGATCACCAATTTTCAGAGCATGAAAAAATTAATAAGAATAATTCTCAGTGTGGACTACACATATGGGAATATGGTAAGAACTTTTAAGGCAATGGATGAAGTAACTAATTCAATATTCTGATAATATTCAAAAATTACAATCCAGTTTTCAAGTTTGCACTTAAAATGTACATATATCAAAAATAAAGATTTTTAACATCTAATTTTGTCAAGAATTAATGACTAATCTACATCAATGTGCAAAATCTAAAGAGATACATGATAAAACTTTAGAACTGAAATTTAGGTAGAATAGCAGCCTCGTGCTTGGCATAAATTTTAATTAAAACTCTCCACTGAGAACACTCGAGGTTGCTCTTTTGCTTAATTTGAAGCTTTATTTTGACATGTTTCTCTTCTCTCTTAAAAAACTATAGACTTTTTAATACAGAGGAACATCTGAGTTCATGGATATTGATGAAGATTCAAGATTTGAAAACTCAAATCTTTTTCTGATTTTTTTTATTTAAATCTTCATAATCTTATTAAATAACCATTAAATATTTTAACTCAAAACTTCTGAATTCCACCTGAAGTTCAACTTTTAATTTTCATGATTTTCCACAACTAAATGTACCCACTTCCCTCAGCAACATAAAGATAAGTTTCTGAAAAACGTTTACACATTCTTTAATTTTTCCCAACTACATTTTCATTTCTCTGACTTTCCAGATGAGTGAGAGTCCTTCAATAGCATCTCGAGAATTGTTAACCCTTAGCGCTCTGCACATTTTTGTATCACTGCCTGCCAGCAACTCCAGCACATTTTTGCAGCGGAATGAGTGAAACAGAGTCTTATTTTAAGCGAGAAGAATTACATGTGCTTGTAAATGTTTTTAATTTTATTTATTTTATACATACATATGCACTTTCTTCTTGCAAATGAGAGATAAATTTTAAATTTTGTAATTCACCATGGTGTGATATCTTTGGAAACAATCTCCCATGTGCATCCTGGGTTTACTTGGGCAAGTGTCACATTGAAGTTTTGCTGCAAATCTTCATCTTCACTTTCAATAATTCTCATTCGTTGTTTCTTTGGTAGTATGATTTCGGAACTTGAAGTGTCAGCATTATAATCACTACTTGAAGTGTCAGAATTATAATCAACATTGTCTTTTAACTGTCAATATCTTTTAACACTTGAAAATCAAACACGTCTTCACAACCACTCAACTCTAAATTCTCATCATAATAATTATTTTCTCCATGTTGCTAACCATAAGAAAGGTTAAAAAATGGTTTAAATCATAACAGTACAGAGAGAGTACGTTTTAACTACAGATAACAATTGCCAACAGCGATGATACCGCGACATCTTAAGCGTAATCATGCCAAAAACATTTGGCTCAGCAATAAATGCTGGATGATCCCGTAGCAGAGCCAATGGAGCTAAAAAACATTTGGCTCTACAGTGGAGCCTACAGAGCTGCGGAACAAATGCCAGATGGCCCCATTGCAAAGCCAACAGAGCGCAAAGGGTTAAACTGGGGTTTAATTGATGAAATTAAAATTATAAACAATTATATCATGAAATAATCTGTTACCAATGTTTATAGCAGTTTCCTGTTTGTCACCAGTTAAAACCCAAAACTTTATATCAGCTTTCAATAAATCAGCTATGGCTTCTGGAACACCCTAGAGATAAGAAAAGTTCAGCTTGTAGTTTTCATCAATATGATATAAACCAGATATAAATTAAATTAGTACAGTATAAAATCCTGCAATGCCTCTACATGAGACCACTGTATAATAAATACTATTGGCATCTTTACACAAATTGGTCATTGTTCACTAACATTCACAAGGATGGCAAGCCTTTACGTTAATGCCTCAACATGAAACTGCAAGCAGTCTTATGAAGGTAAGCATTTAACTTAAGCAAAAGCAACATTCCTGAGACGCTAATACCACGTGAAGATCAGCTTTTTACTTGGAAAGAAAATACTATTAAGGTGACAGCACCTTTATAACAGGGCACTATTACGTAACCAAGCGCTTCGTTTCCTTTATTAACAAAGATAACAAACTAAACTTTTTCTCACACAGTGCCCTTGTATAAAGGTGTTGTCACTTTTTATGAAGTTGCTATCGTCAAACTAAAAACTGTTTTTGAGGTGTAATCACCTTTATGCCAGAGCACTTCTGTGAATATTTGTCTGCATAAACAGTGGCATACTTGAATAAAGATACCAACAGCTTTATGCTCAAGTATTATTCCTTTTTATATAAAAGAAAGCAGGCATAAACATCAGAATTATTACAGATATTTAATTTTCAGTAATGAAAACTAGAACTAGAAGAAAGATGAATTAAATATTTTCCAGAAATTTAAAATACAGTTATACGATAAAATTATATCAAGTATGATTACAAATAGAAATTGTGGATATAGAATACAGAAAAAAATACTTGATAAGGGCAAAAAATTAAATGATTCTGCACAAAGGCACCAAATAACAACATTAGAAGTAACTTTTACTAACTACAAACAAATGTTCTAAATGTTCAGCAATGCCTGTTATAAACTAATGGATTTTATAAATAATTAAGAAAACTAAAGATGTAAATTATTAGGAAGCATCTTATTGCTTTTAAACTGCTTTGTTTATTAAGCAATATAACAATAATTTGAATAATAACTTAAAGATCTTATGGCAAATAGCAGCACACTCGAATTTGGCTACTTGCCATACTACATTGAGTTAAAATGCTATGTCACATGAAATGGCAATACTTGCCATGTCATATGAATTACATAATACATGGAAGAGTTATGCAAATGAAGCAAACAAAAAAAGTTTGGAAAATCTTCACTAAAAATGGTTTCTAACACGAATAAGCAGAATTGTTGTACATAAAAAAAAAAATTAAAAAAAAAACTTATCCCATATTTTTACTGCAAGGAATAGCAACTGCTCAAGATAATTTTTTTTTTTTTTTTTTTTTTTTTTTTCCCCAGATGGCAATATTTTAAAGTATGTAAGCTAAAATACAGTCACCTCCGGATTAACCGAGTAGCATATTTACTAACCCCAGTTCTTTAAAAAAAAAATAATAATAATAGGAAAATTACCATCACAGATACCAAACTACCAGCATTTATATATTTAAAAAAAAAAAAAAAAAAACTGACCATAGAAAATATAGAAAGAAAAAATGCTTGGGATAACAGAAGAAATAACAGATGATGCTTTCTAAGTGAACATTGCCAAAAACACCAACTTTTTACAAAAAGCAGTTTAAAGCAATAAGTTTGAATTCAGTTACATTGTTCAAGTTCTCTTGTAAATATTAGTCTTTAAAATGATTTATAATTTATTTTCTTCATTTCCAATTTATAATTCTTTGATTATTTACAGTGATTCTCTATTCCTGATCATCAATTTGTTTTGAATGCTGATTAACTTTACATAACTGAACGAACTTATTTTACATATTAAAGTATTTGAAATTACAGATAAATCTTTAACTGCAATATGAGTTTTCTTCTTTTATGTGTTTTCTTAATCGCCCTCAATTTACCACAAATATGAGTTAAACATGAATGCCATCCCTAGTAAATTAAAAGCTGACTGTAAGTTATCATTATTGCTATTAGTAATCGCGTGAAAATATTTATAATAATCCATAAAATATAGATATTTTACAAAAACAGCTTATGGAAAAATGGTTAAGCCCTTGTATTTACAAGTGTTAGCATTTTCCCTCATTTTATATTCCTATAGGTTACATGTGAGAACTGATGACGTTTATATACAAGTATGTTATATTATTTGAAAATGGCAAGGCCATATAGGAATGCCTTCATGAAGACTTTCTTAGGAAAACTGGCTCATATTCATGCACATGGAGAAAACCAACCATGCAGCCAACCCATTTACCTGGGTTCCAATTATTTAGTATTCAACAGTCTTAACCAACTCAGCCACTGGTGGGGCATATAAGTATGTTTATAAGATGCATTAGTACTAAAAAACTCTCCTGAAACTGCTGCTCTGTTGTCAAAAATCAGCTGATTCATTAATTAACAGGGTTCATAGCCATATTTTAGTTAAAAAAATAAGCACCTATAAGCACTTTTCAAGCACATTTTAAGAAAAAAAATAAGCACCTGTCTAATTACATTATACACAACTGCATAACCTTAAAAATTAGACTTGTAATTTAAAATATGAGAAATGCAGTATTTATTAAGAGAGAATAAGCATTACCTCAACCATGGAAAATAATTGCTTTTTTTCTTTTAATTTGAAATAACAGTTCAATTTACAGAACTAGTTTACAATGAGAGAAAAAAAAACTATGCATAACTAAACTATATTACAAGATTTAATGACGAAATTTCAGTTCAAAATAGAGAAAATAAATAATTATAAGGCATATTTATTGAATTCGCTTGGAACCTAATAATAAATACAATTTATTTTTCCACTCATATTCATATTTAAATAATTTAAATCTAAATTCTGTACATTTTCTAAATTTTCATTGTATATCAGTTTTCCCTTAACAGATATTGCAAGCAAAGTAATTTAAGTAAAAAAGAGGAATATTTCTGAAATCAGAAGACAGAAATTTGCTTCACGCAATCGTTCTTTAACAGTAAAAGCTTAACTAACTTGCATACTTGGAAATTGGCGAATATTCGGACAGTCGAGCGTAACTTGAAAAAGAGGAGCGGAGGGGGGGCTAAATAATTTTCCGCTAAATAAGTGCTTTTGACATTTCGATATGTGCATCATATAAAAATAAACCAATGGAACTGAAAAATATTCTGCTTAGCAAGCACAGTAAAACTCTTTTAAGTGTTCATAAACAAATCTCGGACAGAACAGCAAAATTAATTATCTCTGCAAAATATCGCAAACGTTATTGCGCAATACGTGTGCCGTAATTCTACCCTATGTGATATTACGCAATCGGAATCAACAGCATCAAAATTAATTTAATTCTACCCTATGTGATATTACGCAATCGGAATCAACAGCTGCGGGTATTGGGAGAATAAAGAAGTAAATAACTGGGGTGTTTTTCATTCTAATTTTCAACAGACGGCGTTAAATTTCCCGAATAAAATCATTCTTCGCTTGGGTTGGTAGACCGCAGAACTTTTAGTCCTATTCAATCCAGATTGGAAAGTAACAAAAAAAAAAAAAAAAAAAATAGTCCGTTGCTTGTTTTACAGCGAACTGTAACAGTTTCAATATTCAAGATTTTGCGGAGAAAGGAGAGAACCTCCCAATATTCGTACTGTATAATGTATTGGTGAAAAAAACGCAATCGGAATCAACAGCTGCCGGTGTTGGGAGAATAAAGAACTAAATAACTGGGGTGTTTTTCATTCAAATTTTCAACAGACGGCGTTAAATTTCCGGAATATAATCATTCTTCACTTGGGTTCATAGACCGCAGAACTTTTAGTCCTATTCAATCCAGATTGGTGTGTGTTTGTGATTATGGCAAAGCCTCGAGGGCTATCTGCCTAAGGGGAAGGATGCCTTTGTGGAGGACTTTCTAAGGGAACTGGCTCGTATACACATTACACATGGGGAAAACCACGAAAACGGCCATGCAGCCAGCCCGTTCGCGAGTTTCAAACCTCGGACCGAACTACCAGCGTTCAGCAACTTTACCGCTTGGCCGCTGGTGGACCAATCCAGATTGGAAACTGGAGGAAAAAAAAAAAGAAGGTCTGTTGCTTGTTTTGCAGCAAACTGTATCAGTTTCAATATTCGAGATTTTGCGGAGAAAGGGGAGTACCTCCCAATCTTCGTACTGTATAATGTATTGGCCAAAAAAATGAAATTAATTTGACTATTCGATTACTTTCCCTTTATTTAAGCTATTCCGAATATTATTTCTTAGAAAGCTAATCTGTGTTAAAACACAACCATTTTTGGAAGTTTACTACTTACTGCAACTAGGTTATTATAAACATTCATACATATGCTCATATTATAAGCATAATGATCATAATAAACACAAATATGAACTGACCAAGTGGAGTGAGAATGCAAATTATTAAGATCTTGATAGAAATTCACACACGTTTAGTATTTGGGTGGGCGGAAAAGAATGCCGAACGTACCGGAATTTTCTACTGCTTTCGCAATTCTTTGACCAACGACGGGCACCTGTATGTACTCTTCGTGCACACCAAAGATTATGTTAATGCAGAGAAACACGTTTAGTATTTGGGTGGGCGGAAAAAAATGCCGAATGTACCGGAATTTTCTACTGCTTTCGCAATTCTTTGACCAACGACGGGCACCTGTATGTACTCTTCGTGCACACCAAAGATTATGTTAATGCAGAGAAAGGGGGGAAAAGCTATTTCCGGGAGTATGATTTACCATCTGACATTCCATATTAGGAAGAAAATTTGCTTATTTAGCTTCGGCTTTGGTACGGGGAAAAATAGAGCATTCATAAAAAAGCACTAAAACAAAAAAATAAGGGCTTTAAAGAAAAAGTAAAGACCTATAAGGGCCTTTATATTTTATTTTCAAATATAAGGACTTATAAGCACTTATAAGGACCGCTACGAACCCTGATTAATGATAAAGAATGTGAAAGATGTCAACTTAAGGGAAAAGATGACTATGGAGGGAGACAGACCGATAGTTACATAACACAAAAAACTTCCAAACCGCTATGCATATAGGTAACTCAGATGCCACAAACTGAGCATAGGATTATACCTAATATTTCACATCTTGTATCCAGAATACAAATATTAATATTTCATACTTTCTGTCACTCTAAGAAAAACATTGGACTTACAAAACAAATGGAATATTTTAGTCATTTGCCTTCAAAATGAAGTATATTAAAAATGAAACAATAATGAACTACTTATAGATTTTAAATAGGAAATAAGAGACTGTTCTAAAATCTAAAATAATAATAATAATAATTAAACATTACCTTTTGAAGTTTATCTTCAATAGCAGTTGCACCCAAAAGAGTAAGATTCTGTTAAAATAAATATTTGTATAACACTGAAACTGAAAATACTCAACAATTATAATAAAGAATTAAGGTACATTTCAGAAAATTTCAAAATTCTTTTATAGTAAAAATTTTGATAATCATGAAACAATGCAACACTTGAAGAAAATAGTTTATAATATTTTTTGAGGGAGGGGGGAATTTTACATAATTACCAACAAATAAGCAAAAATTTAACTTTTAACTGCAGTCAATGATCACATTTTTGCTTGTTTGAGAAAAATAATTATGTTGAAATTTTTTCCTCTCTTTCTTTATTTCCTTTCCCCCCCTTCCATTTTATTTCTTTTTTATTTTTATTTATATATTTATTTATTTGCAAGCATTCAAACCTGATTCATGATTAACACTCTCCCTTAATTTTCTACACCATATTGTTGGTTGCTGCAAGAGATTCCGTATGTTTTAATCTTTGGGCTTTCAATTTAAATTCTGTCAAGTGAAATTATTCAATTACAAGGCGACCACAGTGCCATCTAACATAAGTTCCATAGTAGGCTAAGTAGTCAAATTTATCGCTTGGACTGCGAAGTGTTTGCTTTTACATACATGAGTATTTAATTTTCAGTTTTCACTTTCCTCCTCAAATATCAACAGAATCTGAAAATATGCAGAAATGTTTTGATATAGGCATCCATATTCCTCCCAATTTAAATGTTAAAAGGTGCTGCACTGTATGCAGGGTTCGTACACATTTCCTTACATGAAAATTAAGGACTTTTAAGGACCATCAAAGAAAAGGACCTATCAGCAAACAAAAAAAATGAATAGAATAAATCAGCATTATCCATACAACTGACTACATGCTTGTAATTTCACTTTAAGAAACTAACAGAAGTGTGTATTATGCACTATTATTAAATTCAATTTAATACTTACCATAAACAATTTTGAAAATTAAACTAACTCCCTACAAGTTATGAAGCAGATAACATTAAATTAGGAACATAATTTCTTGAAAAACATGTATAAGTATATTTTACACTAATAACAGTCACTATTTTATTAGAGATTTACATGATTATTATTTAACTTATTTGATATTTATTTAAACACAGTCAACTACTAGTATAATCACAATGTAAGAATATTTTGCAGATTAAAATAACTGATTTGTAAACATACAATTTATTTCCTTGGTTTTTTGAAAGATACTAGAATAATAAACTGTACACTAAAAGATACAAACATTTGTGCTTTTTTTAAATCTGAAATCTTTTCAGCTATTTTAACATCTAATTTATTTATGTCTATTTCCTTTCTTTAACTATCTTCCAAGTTCATTTGCTTTGATAAACAAATCAATGTTCCTGCTATCTCAGCTTCATCTGCTAAAGCATCTACTTCTTCATTAATATCTTTAATGTCCCTTTGAAGAAATTTTTTCTGCTTCAATATACCAATTTCTTCCTCAAAAATATTTCTTTTCCTCTTTGAATTTTCAGATTTAGTTAAAGATTTTTGTTCTTCTAAATACTGCATATATTTAGACCTTGCAAGAGCTGCTGCTGATCTCATTTCTTTATTAATTTCGATATTAAGAACACCTCCAGAAAATTTTATGTAATCAAATACTGTGCGTTGAAAAATGTATGATGAGTCACTTAAATTTTCAATTTCAATTCTTTATTTACAGAGAAGCCCCTTTCCACAGAGGCCTGTTCATGTGACAAGATAAGAATACTTGTCACAGTGAATACTTGAATAGTGAAGTACATATATATATATATATATATACATACAGTACAAAGTTCCGAGATCCGGACATCCAATATCTGGAATGATCCTAAAATCCAGACCTCAAAGCCACCACCAAACCAATTTTTTAGGGCTTTTTTGGAGGGAAGGGGTATGCTTTACGGCATGCGCATTAGGTTTTTTTCCTCATCATAAAAAAACAAGCCGGAAATTCCGATTCTTAATCTCAGTTTGGCGCTAAATAAAATATCTCATTATTGAAGAAATAATTATTTTAGCATAAATTTGTGTGATTAGTAATTTGACTCCATAGCTGCATATCTGCTTGGCATAATCTCAAACTGAAACTTTTGTTAATTTTACACCAACTAATATTTTATATCCTTGATGCCGAAATCACGAATCATTATTTATTGTATTTTGCTTTCATCACCGCATGTTTATCAACGGATGACAAATTGAGTGATGACTCATGCAGCGACACCAAATAACAGAGTATTATCCGATTACAGATTTAAGTTTAATGCGCTAAAATGTTGACAAGGGGAGATTTAGCAGAAATTTCTTACCTTATGCTAAAATAGATTTGTTAATGATACTCATAGGACAAACGATTATATTTAGTGCTATTTGAATTAAGAATAACTGATTTGTTATTCACATAAAGCCAGAACCAGCGCCAGAGCTCGCATGGCCGCACCAGGCGGCAGAATTTAGGGAAGTTAAACAGAAGTTTTTCATTGCGATGACAATGCCCAATCATCAATCAATTAACGGAGGGCGAAATCTGTAGTATGGTTCTAAATCCAGAAAATACAGCTACCGATAGTGAAGAAGGTAACAGAGAGGTTACTGAAAGAGAAAAAATTTTGATTGACAAGTTATTCGGAATTCTCGACACAGCAATTACAGGACTTGAACAATGGAACTTAATAACTGAACAAGAAATTATACGTCTATAGTATTAGTCCAAAGTATTAGCAGAGAAAACAAATCAAACAACTCACATTGAAAGAAATGTTTAATAAAGTAAACATAAATATTAAGCTCTTTTCTTTTGTAAATTTTGATACCCTTTAAATCATAAATGCTTCATTATTTCATAAATCACGATTTCATATTTTCAATTTTATAATTTCTACGTGCCATCTTAGTAGATTTTTAAAATGATCTAATATCTGGAAAAATCTCAAATCTGGGATCGCCGAAGTCCCGACGAGTCCAGACCTCGGACTTTGTACTGTATATATATATATATATATATATATCCATATTATATATATATATATATATAATAAGAATGTATATATATATATCCGTATATATATATATAATACGGAATGTATTTTCAGTTAAACTTCTACCCAATAACTTTAGTAATTCATGAAAGTTAATTTTGTGTCTAGTTAATTCAGGAAAATTAGTTTCAATTAGTTGTTTTCAGCTTTAAAAATATAAAAAATTTTTAATTAGTTAGTTACTTTCAACTAATAATTGTATTGCCATTAGCAAAAATAATGCATTACTATCAACAGCATAGGATTAAACCAAATACTTAATTGTCTATTGAAGCTTCAAAACGTATTTCCGAACTCCACTTTTTCTCGGCTAGCGTTACCGAATTTGCCCTTGGCGACCTAAAATCGAAATGGAGCCAACAGATTTCCCGCGAAATCGATAACAGACCTCTGCAGAAATAAACTCATAATCCCGATATCCCATACATATAGTATGTGCAAAAGAGAATAAACTCCGTAGAAGGTGATAAAAAATTAATTTATGGCTTAATTGAAACAAACACAGAAATTAAGCTAAATAAAACCGTGTAAAAACAAATTGAAATGATGAAACGAAACTTAATTTTCATGTGAATTTTCAGCGCTGACTCTCCCATTCTAGAAATTTCAATATGTTTTAGACAAAGACCACATTTAAGGATTGCCATCCATCAATATCCAGTCTTTGTAATCAGCTTGATGAAGCCACAGTTTATTGAAAATGCACTTTACAGGCATCGCGTTCCTATTGGCGTCGGAAGGCTTGTGGCCTTCCAGGTTCGGATTGCTCTAATTTTGGCAAATATTTTCAGAATCCCCCCCCTTTTTTTTTTCTCGAGCACTTCATCATCACTTTCGCCTCTTAAAGAACTTCCGGCTTCATGCTTTCGTCACAATCTGCCTAAATTTATGGATAACACCTGTTTCGAAAACATTGGGTGAATAGCCAATCAGACACCCGATACTTTCATTCTAGGCTAGCTTTTTTTTTTTTTTTTTTTTTTTTATCGTTTGCAACGCAAATCCGCCAACAGATTGGTTAAGAGCCATGTAATTTTAATTCCATATTCATGAGAAATCGCAATTCACACTTAGAATGGCAATCATTAGAAATGATAAGAAATATCAAATGAGCAAAATTAAGGACCGTTTATTCATTTTGGCCAAAATTAAGGACTTTTAAGGACCAAAAATCATTTTTGAAAAATTAAAGACTTTTAAGGACCGTACGAACCCTGTGTATGCTACCACATCTCACAGGATGAAACCATTAATGCTATAATTGTTAGGTACTTGCTGATTCTGCAGCACATGAGAAGACATGTAAATAATCTGCTAGGACCTTTTGGCAACAAAATTTAGTTTTTCAATTTCTTGCGAATATTGCTTGGCAATCCCATTCTAAGTAACATTAAACAAAAAATTGTTTAATGTGATTTATCACTGCCTCGATATGAACTCTTAAGGCCTGTTTCCACTACTGCCGTACGAACGCGTTGCGTAAGTTGAAGACACACCTACAATTTCCACTGTCGCATATCCGTAGATTATTTTCTTTTTCTGCCACTATGTGTCACTGTAAGATTTTAGTGCCAATCAACCAGTTCGCGAGTTACGATGCTGAACATCTGAATTTTTCCGCTTAAGTGAGTATTGTTTATTTTGGATTTGATATAGATCCTGACGTAAAACGCAGAAAAGTTTTGTTTCTTTTACTCTTAAAGAAATGGTGCGGTTATGAAAGGAAATTTCGTGTTATTGGAATTTTTTTTTTCTGCTTATGAACTGCCAAAGTAAAGTACACTAGAAATTTTTAGATAAGTAAGGTTATAAGGCATATTATGAACATAATTAATTGCATAGAAGCTGAAGTAAATTTAAAAAATTTCTTTGCGTTTCTAGAAGCCTTAAATATTAATGAAATAATATATATATTATTAAAACTAAAATGTACTGTTACTGAAAAAATACACAAATAAAACAAAAAAAGTTAAATGAATT